TTACGAGAAACGGCTCTATTTCAGCTTTTCCATCAGCGCCACCTGCTGTCAGCGAGTGGATTTACAGAGACCTATATTTACATTCAGTCTGTGTGCAGTTTCTGTCTGGCCAAAAACAGACCGAATCTGCATGCCCTGCTGTAAACTTTGACCGGTTGATGAAAATCAAGCTTATGTGGATTCTACACATTTAAACAATTCAGATAAGCTATCTAGAATTATTTATGGAGCAGATAAAATACATATAATCATTTATTAATCAGTTATCATTTTTGACATATCTTTTCTTTATTTAAAGGCTAAAATGTGAGGTTTACCTTTTTATGAAACTTTTTCAAAGCTTTATTTGAACATTTACATATATTTCAACATGCTATTTCACTATAATCGTGATAAGAAAGTTACATACCGTTACATCCCTAACTAGATCTCACAGACGAAGAGCTGACCGCGCGCGCGACCTTTCCAACGTGATTACGTCATGCGTGAAGTTCAGCTAGTGCAAGGCCAGCATTTGTGATTAAAAAGTATGTACATTTTAATTTTTTTAAAGAAAATTAGTCTAGATAAGAGCCTTATTCCTCGGCTGGGATCCTGTAGTGCACTGAAACGACGATTTAACCCGTTGAACCCCATTGAACTCCATTATATGGAGAAAAATCCTGGAATGCTTTCCTCAAAAACCTTCATTTCTTTGCGACTGAAGACCGAGAGACATGAACGTCTTGGATGACATGGGTGAGGAAATTATCAGGAAATTTTCATTCTGGAAGTGAGCTACTCCTTTAACTAATAGACAAATGTTTTACCAAGCTCACATTCAGGTGTTGAATATTGACATTTCACCATCCAATCAATTCCTAATGGATAAAATAATGCTTTTTTCCCCCTCATTGAAATTATGTTTTATTCTGAAATGCTTGACTTTAATCACCTTTTAACCTTTTTTTGAGCACAAAAGCAGTCTTAAGTCGCTGGGGTATATTTGTAGCAATAGCCAACAATACATTGTATGGGTCAAAATTATTGATTTTTCTTTTATGCCAAAAATCATTAGGATATTACATAAACATCATGTTCCATGGAGATATTTTGTAAATTTCCTACCGTAAATATATCCATGTGTAATATATTATACAAGACTTATGAAAGGGTTGTAGGTGACGCATAAGGACTTTACGGCAGCTGTAGTGAAGGTTTGTGTGTTTTCACGTGTCTGTGGTGATGTTCCTCCTGCAGGATGTTGAGGGGGTTTTGAGGAGCGGTCTGAAGATGAGCGTGACGTCGTGGTTCCTGGTGAGCAGCTCCGGCACGCGCCACCGTTTGCCCCGCGAGATGATCTTTGTGGGCAGAGAGGACTGTGAACTCATGCTACAGGTCAGACATTCATTTGATTCATTTCATAATTGGTCAAGTTTATACCATTAACAGTCAATTTTGCAATAACAGTGTCATTGTTGCAAAGGTTATCAATTATGAAACGAGCTCTGTTCGTGTACACTGATGCGATCCGTTATATTTGCTGTCAAATGGGGCTTTTCTCTTTTTAGACACCCTCAGACGGGATTATCGGTGATTCACACGTTTTATTTCATGTTGCTGCTGAATCTAGCAGTTTCTTTAAATTAAAAACAAAATGCTTTGCAAAGTATTATGTGAGAATTATGTCCATTTAAGCTGTTACCATGCTACATTTTACTGAAATGCACAGCAGGGTTATTATAGAAAAAAAAAAAGTTTGGTTATTGTAGGAAACAAAAACTAAGACTAATACAAACGTTTTAAAAAGTTGGGTTATTATTGTAAACTAAACCCATAAAAAAATTAAAAAGTAGGGTTATTATAGTAAACTAAAACTATAAAAAAAATGTTTTTAAAAAGTAGCATTATTATAGTAAACTAAAACCATAAAAAAAAATTAAAAAAAAACAAGTAGGGTTATTATAGTAAACTAAAACCATAAAAAAAACAAAAAAAAACAAGTAGGGTTATTATAGTAAACTAAAACTTAAACCATTAAAAATTCATAAAAAAGTAAAGTTATTATTGTAAACGAAAACCATAAAAATGAGAGCTATTACAGTTAACTAAAACTTAAACCTTAAAGTACATATTTTTTACGTGAAATAAATAACATTTTAACTGAAATAAAATACTAAACTTCTTAGACTTCAGCTAGTTGCCAAAGCAATATTTCTCATTTTCATTTAGTTTAACTTAAAATAACTAAAACTAAAACTGAAATAAAATTAATAAAAACTATATAGGCATATTTAAACATTTTTAAAAGTAATAAAAATGTCAAAAACACTACAAACAAATTCTAAAAGTTTAACTAAAATTAAAACAAAAACAGGAAATATATGAATGAAAAACACAAAATACTAAAATAACACCTCAAATAATCTCCCGTTCGCTCATATGGCACACGCTGTAACGTCTGAGCAACAGGAGGCATGAAGCTTCAGCAGAAGGTCGATTTCTGTCTCTTAAACTCAAATCAAACAAATGTCCCAGTCTGTTGTTCTCTGTCTGTTGTTCTGCTGGCACTAGAATGCAGCGTTTTGACTCTTGTTTATACGGTTCTGTTCATCTGTGGTTAGTTTAGCTCGGCCCTCTCACCGCAGCGGTTTGCTGTCTATTCATACACACTGAATGCATCCAAACCTCGGCCTCTCCCTCTCCGCTCATGAATCGCATTCCTCACCAGCCGCCAGATCTGGAATATGTTCAACCACGTCATTATGACTCAAAAATGTTATGCAATGACATTGCATGCAACTTAAATGTATAAATAAACACTGTACTTAAATTCATATGATGCATATCCAACATGCATGTAAATATTGAACACAAATCTCGGATTAAGTTTGGTTAAATTCACTACTTCAGATTGCAATGAAGTCCCAGCGGCTCTGAACAATGACCACTGATGAGGCTGTAAATAAATGTGGGCCGATCTGCTTTGATGCATGAAGACGGCTGACTCTGATAATGCTGGGTAATTGTGCCTTCCTGTGGCCAAATGTAAATGTTTGTCTCCAAGCTTACTGATGGGGTTTTCTCTGTGGAATAGAGAGTTTTCTGCTCTTCTACGCTGATGATATTGTGTGGTCACACTCTTTGGCCGTGGCTCTGTTCTGAGAGCTGCAGACAGGCTCTTTTAAAGCCCTCTGTCCCGCTGTGTAAAGATCTCAACAGACGTTTTATCGCTAAAGCTTGTTGTCTGGCCCTTTGTAGTGTTATTTTCTGATAAGCTGCTTTCTGTTCTTTGCGCCTTCGCAGTCTCGCAGCGTGGACAAACAACATGCCGTGATCAACTACGACGCGTCTGCAGACGAGCACCTGGTCAAAGACTTGGGCAGCCTCAACGGGGTCAGTTCACCGGGTCCTCTGCATGATTTAAAAGTGCTTTTGCAGTTTATGCATGCACAAAAGCAAATATAGGTTTTATATAGGGCAGCTTGATTGGGTTGAAATTAATGCAATTTTGTCAAATGTGACCCTGGAGCACAAAACCAGTCATAAGGGTCAATTTTTCGAAATTGAAATTTATACGTCATCTGAAAGTTGGATAAATAAGCTTCCATTGATGTATGGTTTGTTAGGATAGGAGGACAATATTTGGCCAAGATACAACTATTAGAAAATCTGGAATCTGAGGGTGCAAAAAAATCTAAATATTGAGAAAATCATCTTTAAACCCCAGCGACTTAACACTGCTTTTGTGCTCCAGGGTCACAAATAGTGTGATTTGAACTACAGTTTGAAACGCACCTTGCATTGCTGCTGCATACAAACAAATGTGTAAAATCACATTGTAACAGCAGCTCTCATGCGTCCTGTGCATGTTGTGCATTTTTGACATAATGTGATTTACAAACATCTCACAATGCATGTTTTACTCTTCAAGCGATTGAGTTTCCGCATGAACAAATGCAAATATGGATTTTATATAGGGCTGCTTGATATGGTTAAAGTTATGAATGCAATTTAGTGTGATTTACAAACTATTAATTGAAAAACATCTCACTCATGAAAGCTGCTATTACAATATAATTTTACTACTTTTCTCACAGCAGCATTGTGTTCTCTGCATGTTTTACAAGAGCTTTAGCTTATGCATTCACAAATGCAGATATAGATTTCTTTTTATACAACTGCTTGATTTGGTTAAAATTATTAATGCAGTTTTGACAAATAGTATGTCTTACAAACTACAATTTGAATGTTTTAATCTTCAAGCACTGCAGATTCTGCATGCACAAATGCAGATATGGATTTTATACACGACTGCTCTATTTGGTTAGAATTATTTTGCTTAAAATCAGATCTGATGCGTCCTCTGCATGTTTTACAAGAGCTTTTAGTGTATGCATTCACAAATGCAGGTATGGGTTTTATGCAAGATTGCTTGAATTGGCTCAAGTTATTAATGCAATTTTTACAAACAGCGTGATTTACAAACTACAATTTGAAAAACATCATGCATTTGATGTGTGAGAACAAATGTGTAATCCATATTGCAACAGCAGCTCTCATGCATGTTTTACAAGCGTTTCTGTTTCTACATGCACAAATGCAAATGTGTATTTTATATAAGGCAGCTTGATTTGGGTTAAAATTAGTGCAATTTTGACAAATAGTGTTATTTACAAACTAGAGTTTGAAAAACATCTCACATTGCATTTTTTACTCTATAAGTTTCTGCATGCACAAATGCAAAAATGGACCTAAAGGGCTGCTCAATTTGGTTAAAATTATGAATGCAATTTTATCAAATAGTGTGATATGAAATACAATTTGAAAACCATGCATTTCTGCTGTGTTAGGGGGAAAAAGTGTAAAAATACATTGTTATAGCAGCTCTCATGTGTTCTCTGCATGTTTTAGTGTATGCATTCACAAGTGCATATATAGATTTTATACACGACTGCTCGATTTGGTTAAAATTATTAATGCAATTGTCAAATAGTGCTACCATTTGAAATGCATCTTGCATTGCTGCATCGTAAAAACAAACGTGTAAAATCACATTGAAAACAGCAGCTCTCATGCGTCCTCTGCATGTTTTGCAAGCTCTTCACTTTCTGCTATTTGTCTGCTATTATCAGACTGTTTGTCAAAATTCCATTAACAATTTTGATGCATAAACTAAAGCTCTTGTAAAACATGCAGAGGATGCATGAGAGTTTAAGTGTGATTTTTAGTATGATTTCCAAACTACAATTTCGAAAAAAACATCATGCATTGCTGCTGCATAAGAACAACTTTGTAAAATAATAGTGATTGCAAATTACAATATGATAAATGCTTTCCCACATTGTTTGCAAGAATGAATGTGTAAAACCACAAACTGCAGACTTTTGTCTCCTAATTCAAATAGCTTTGCACTGGGAATGCAAACATGAAAATAAAGCTTTGCACTGCAACAAAATTAACAAAGTGTGAGAAAACTTTGAGTCTTGAGCCCCTTAGTGTGATATAGCCAAAATATCTCATCTAACTAACATGTCAAAAGACTTTGACTTCAGTTTGAAAACCTTTTTTTATAAAAATGTACACTATTGGTCAAAAGTTTGGGATCAGTAAGACTTGTATTGTTTTTTAAAGAAGTCTCTTATGCTCATCAAGGCTGCATTTATTTGTTCAAAAATACAGAAAAAAACAGTAATCTTGCAAAATGTTATTACAATATAAAATAATGGTTTCTATTTTAATATCCTTTAAAATATAATTTATTTCTGTGATCAAAGCTGAATTTTCAGCATCATTACTCCAGTATAAAGTGTCACATGATCCTTCAGAAATCATTCTAATATGCTGATTTATTTTTAGAATTATCAACAGTTGTGCTGCCAAATATTTTTTTGGAGCCTGTGATACTTTTTTTCAGGATTCTTTGATGAATACAAAGTTAAAAAGAACAGCATTTATTCAAAATATAAATCTTTTCTAACAATATAAATCTTTGCTATCACTTCTTTACAATTTAACACATCCTCGCTGAATAAAAGTTTTAATTTCTTTAAAAAAAA